CAAGATAGCATGCCCCTCACACTCTGTGCATTTAAGAATCACAAGCCTGTTCCACTGGGGGAGTCACTGATCCACCAAACCCCTCCCATACCAGGGTTTGATGCTTACAGGGGGTATGCATTTATCCCACTGCAAGGTTTGGTGGTGTTTCTTGGAGATCACCTGGCCTGTCTTGTGGTAAGAATGCCAGGATTTTCTCTCCTTAACAGAGGAGAGTGGGTTGAGGCTGCAAGCTGTTTACTAGATTCCTCTGCCTATCACTTTTTAGCTGTCTTATTTATCGCTAGTGTTTCTTGGCACTGTCCCTCAGTTTTGCTTTTCTGAATATAGCCTCTCCTTTGTTTCTCAGCTTATTTTCATTCAGAGTCCTACAAAGAAAGTCTGTTCTTTGCCACATTTCTCTGCCTCCTTTACTTCAACAAAGTACTCTTTTTGTTGTTGAGGAAGTCAGTGGAGAGATAGAGTTTCAGATCTGAGGAGATGACACTGGGGGCTGCGGACACCAGCAATGGAGCCAATAACCTCTGAGGATGTGTATGGGAACTTCATCCTAGAGAAGTGAGCTTTACTTCTTCCAAAAGAAGCTCCATGAAGATGAGATGCAGGAAACCTCAAGAATCTGGCCTCAGTGGTTGTTAAGTGGTCAAAAACTGTCAGTACTCCTCAGAACTGTCAAAAATCAGCAGAAACGGGGCAATTGTGAGCAATAGTCATAGCCAGCTAGTCTCCAAGGAGACTAAGAGAACCTAACAGCTAAATGTAATATTGCATCTGGATGGGATCCATGTACTTATTAGTCATGTGCCTTTGGGAAAGTTTTGTTTCGTGCCAATACTGTGGCTTGAACTCAGTGCCTCATGATCAGCTGTTACTCTAAAACATTCAGTCTATGTCTTAGGATTGGAGCACCAAGACAATAACATTTAATTTTATCCATTTTACAACTGTTGAAGTCTTTTATTGTATTGTTGACATTTGATGGAGTCATACTACATTGTTATTTCCATACTACTTGTGTTTCTACATTGAAATTTATGTATCTGGGGCAAAGCTTTTGGCAAGGGGTTGTAATCTCCTGGATCTTTTTGGCTTAATTATTCACAAGATTTAGGCAAGACTAGATAGTAGCTGGATATTTTTTTTCACATTTGCCCATATCACTGAAGAAATTCTTTCCAGGCCCTACTCCATACAGAGAAAAAGTTAGTTGCAGAAGTAATTATAATGGATAGATACTATATAATGAAAGGGGAGTGACTAAATAGAGGAGAATATTGAGAAAGAGAAAAGACTTAGCTATAGAAAGGAGAAGAGAAAAAAGGAAAAAAGAAATAAGGAAAAAGAGAAGAAAATAACAAAAGCAAACAAAGCCAACAAAAAAGAGAAAAGGAAAACTAAGAGAAAAGAATAAGAAAAGGTAGTTTGACATTCTGCCTATCTGCTAAAAATAAAGACTTGAATGAATGATTGTGGATAGAATAGAAAAAGAAGAAAAACAAGACAGAATTACATTACTTGTAGACAGACAAAAAGTAGGAATGGGGAAGAGCAACAGAAGAGAGAAGATATGGTTACAAGTTGAATAGTTTTCTTGTTCAAGTAGTTATGCAGAGATGATTCATGATGTCAGTTTATTTGTCCAATTTGATCATATCTTGATCAAAATACCCCTTTCATAATTCTCCCCACCTCTCTCAGCTCTATCCTTTCCTTTAATTTTCCTAATTTCATTTTTACATATGTATGCACATTGAATATCATGACTGCATTTGCCCATTCTTCTTTCTCCATTTGAGTACATCTCTCGACTCAACTTACATCCCCCTGACTCCACAAGATCCAGCTTACTCATATTCATTTTAACAAATTGTGAGGTAGTTGTTGAAGGGAATTATACTATTGAAATCCTCTCCTGCATATACCATATTTTTGTTATGTATGTCTATGCATGAGACCCTGTGTATGTTTACATACATATTTATAATTTAAATCCAACTTCAACACATGAAAGAAAACACAAGTCTTTTGTCTTTCTAGGCCTGATTTACTCCACTTAACATTATTTTTTCCATTTCCTGGCAAATGATATATCATTCCATCAATTCCATTGGATGGAGATGGATGGATGGATGGATAGATAGATAGATAGATAGATAGATAGATAGATAGATAGATAGATAGATAGATCTAGGTCTCCAAACTGCCTTCCACAGTGCTCACAACAGTTTGCATTTCCATGAACAGTGTATTAGGGGTTCTTTACTCCCACATGCATGTCAGCATCTGTTGTTTGTTTGCTCATAATATCTGTTCTTACTGAGATGAGATGAAATCTCAGTGTTGTTTTGATATATGTTTCTTTTATGGCCAGAAATGTTGTGCATGTTTTTATGTGTCTATTGGACATTTTAGTTCTCCAAATAAGTTTTTATTTAGTTCTTTTGCCCATTTATTGGTTATTTGAGGGTTTGGTTTTTTGAGCTCTTTTAATATTCTGGGTCGTAAGCCTTTATCCAATATATAGCTGGTAAATGTCTTGTCCCATTCTTAGGTTGTCTTTTCAGCTCAGTATAACTATGTCCTTTGCTGTGCAGAGACTTTTTATCTTGATGCAATCCCATTTGTCAATTTGTTTGCTAATCTGCAGAGCCCCAGGAATTCAGAAAGCTTCTATATATGTAGAAACTAGTAGTTTCAAGGTTTCATGTGTTACATTGAAATTATTGGCCCATTTTAATTAATACTGGTAAAACTGACAGGCAGGAATCTAATTTCTTTCTTCTGCATATGAATATCCAGTTTACCCAATACCATTTGTTGAAGAGGCTTTTTCCCCTATGTTTTTGGATCCCTTGTCAAATATTAGATGGCTATAAATAAGGTTTACTTCTGGGTCGCTAGTTCTTTGGACCTATTTTTGTGCCAGTAGCAAGCTGTTTTTTTGTTGCTGTAGCTCTGTATTAAAGTTTGAAGTCTGGAACTGTGATACCTCTGGTTGTGCTTCTTTTTCCATTTTGTTCAGGATTGCTTTTGTGAGTTGGAGCCTTTTAGGATTCCATATGAATTTTTCTCTATCTCAATGAAAAATGACATTGACGTTTTAATGGGTATTGCATTGAATTTGTCGAGTGCCCTTAGTAGTATGGCCATTTTCACAATACTAATTTTGCTAATCTAGGGACATGGAGATTTTCCTACTTTCTGGTGTCTTCAAATTTTCTTTTAAGTTTTATCATTTTCATTGAGGTAGTCCTTTCTTTCCTTGGCTAGGTTTATTCTTAGATACTATTTCCTGATTTCCTTCTCTACCTGCTTATTGTTGGTATACAGGAGAGCTACAGCTTTTTGTGAATTTACCTTATATACTGCTATTTTGCCAGTTATTTATTAGCTCTAGGATCTTGGGAGAGAAGACTTCTAGGTCTTTTAGATGTAGTATATTATTTACAAATAGGGATAGTTTGACTTCTTCCTTCCCTATTTGGATTCTATTTATGTCTTTCTCTTGCCTTATTGCTCTGGTTAGAAACTCCAGTGCTGTATTTTTGTTCATAGATAAGGATGGAGGCAGGGCAGGGACAAAAAAGAGAGAACAACCAACACACAAAAGAGACAGACATAATCAAATAAATATTTCTAATTTTTTCTGCTGTTTTCTAGAGCAGTTGTTTTGAGAGATTTTTTCACTTCTTTCTTTCTTTCTCTCTTTCTCCTTTCTCTTTCTTTCCTTTCCCTTTTCTTCCTTCCTTCCTTCCTTCCTTCCTTCCTTCCTTCCTTCCTTCCTTCCTTCTTTCTTTCTTCTCTCTTCTTTCTTATTTGTTTTTCATAAACCAGTTCAGCCAGTAGAGGCCATCTGATTTGCAGTCTTGCCTCAGTTTCAGTGAGTAAGCAACCACTCAGAGCCCTGGGCTGGAGTCCAACACAGAATAATAGACAAGTTCTAATTTCAGATTTTTATGCTGGATTCCTGGGTTGGGCTCCTAAATTCTGAAATTTCAGAAACTCCCTACTTGACCTGAGGTATGTCCCACATCTCCCTATAATGACAGGCTGTTGCTTTTTCTGCATAATATAAGGGCAATCACTTGTAGAAATAATAGAAAGTGGATATTCAAATATTATCAAAACATTGAATTCACTGTTATACTAGAAATTACCTCCCAAAAGTAATAAGGAACAATTCTATACTAAAAAAAATCAACCAAAAGATAAAATATTGAGGATTAAATTAACAAAGACAAGAAGGAATTATTTGCAGATAACTAAAATATCTTACTTAAGCAAGATAAAAAATGGAATAAATTGAATAAAATTCTAAGTTTCTGAAGTAGAGGATTCATTCTTTTAAATTTGTAACTCTATGATAAAATCACCATAAACCTAATGAGAAAGATATTGGGGGAATTTAGAAGGTACACAATTATAAATTTTTACAAGCAAAACCATGCCCCAAATAACCAAGGCAATTTTGAAAACAAAAAGCAATATGAATACATTTACCATAAAGCAAAAATTTTTACACTTATTTTATTCTTACTGGTATTGCAACAATGAAACAAATAAATAGAAAAGAGGATGATTGTACTTATAGCTACATACTAAGAAATCCTAGGATAAGTTTTGTGAAGGTATCTTTGTTCAGGATGTTCAGTTTTACTAATATCATTGTAGACCTTTTGAGATCATTACATGCAATGATTCTTAAGCTCGTTTGACCACAGAATTCTTCTTAAAATGAATTTTGTAGGACAGATATTTCCTCTGTTCACTAATTTGAGGAAAACTGGAAAAGAAACAGACACACATTTGTGTGAAATTGGAAATTCCATGAAAGAGATGCCTTAATCCATTTGGTAAAAGGTAGATTCAACCAATGTACTTTAGACAATTTAGAAAAAATTAGACATAAATTTGAGCTGCAATAATATCCAGAAACTGAAACCATAGAAATAGTGGAAAGCACTAATATGAAGATATATATATATATGTGTGTGTGTATATATATATATCTACAACCACACATATATAGTTAATGATACCTATTTTAATAGATACTACATTATATTGTTACATTGTAGTATTATTACCTTTTCTGTTATCTTTTACATATTATTACATTATAGTCTCTATGTTAGTATAACTATAAAAATAAACGCCCCACCTCATCAATATCCTCAATAATAAATTAAATCTGCCAAGATTAAACATACATGTCCTCTATTAATATACTAATAAAAACCTGCCAAAAAGCAGAGGTGACATTTGATTTTGATATTCAAATTTTATCTTGCTTGACCACAAGGTATTTGGTCATATGCCAGGGTCATCTCCCCAAGTGTTGTTGAAATCCCCAGAAGATGCCTCTGTCTTCTGCAGATTGGTTATGGTGGTCACCTGTGGTACTCAGTGGTCTCTTCCTGTCCACTGCTTCACACCACTGAACTTCTCTTACTCCTCTCTATCCACTAGAAGATGAGTGAGGAAACAGACCACAGCCTAGATGAGATCAAAGTATGCTCCTTTGTAATTATGGTGAAAACCATGTATGTGAGTGCTCCCTATTTATGAAACTGGCCCAGGAACAGTAAAGGGAAGCAGAAAGGAATAGGAAAATTCTGCCATGTCTCTAAATTTTCATATTCTCAGATACAAGTAAAAACAGCCACAAACCAAAACAAGCCCCATAGGCATGGAGCACATAGGTCTGACTGTTGACCATCCACATCTCCCTCCATCACCTCCTATAGGGATCTGAAGCACATCTCAGACTTTGAATTATTTCTCTTATCAATATGTAGAATGAATTTCCCCAACAAAGGGGGTCTTTAAGACAAAAATCACTAGATTTCTCATACTAAAATTGACCAGCAATTCTACAATGACAATGCCTAATAATCTTCAATTTTTTAAAGGTACTAGGACATAAGAATGACAAATGGGCATTGCAGTACTGAAAGTGTACAAACATTGCCTGGTAGATTTGGAGGCCTGGCTCTCTATTGTTGGTTCAGCAGGCGGCTTTTCGCCTCGATCTTGAGTGTCACCCTGTCGCCAAGCTCCATGGTCATAGCTAACAGCAGGACCCTTGAGCAAAGCTGTCCTAACCAAGGCCTATTCTCAAAAGACAAGGAGTATAGAATCATTTCCTATTTTATATTTGCATACTCAAAAGGCCAATTAATTTCTCTCCAGAACAAAATGTACAGTCTGTTCTCAAAGGCATTGCACGCTATGCTTCAGTTACCTTGTCGGCGTTCATGTCTGTATTATTTATGGGAGGAAGGTCCTGGGTTGACTGTGAGGAGGGGCTTGAATCCTGGTCTCTTCTTGCCTAGGGGCCGCAGCAGATTGTGTCATTTCTCTGAGCTTTCATTTTCTTTTTTATATAATGAGATTGACATTGTGCAATTGCTGTAAGAATTGAATTGTATAAGAATTGTGGAAAGAATTAAATTGTGCACAGAGAGAAAGTCATAGTGTTCATTCAGTAAGTGGGGAGTATAATAGTAATATTTTTTAAGCTTAAGTATGCTAATAAGTAGCATATATTAGTTTAAATCAAGTTTGGACATAAGCTCTGATCCTTAGCTAGGAACAGATATTTCAATCATTCAATAGTTTGTTCAACAAAAGTGAGCCTTACTTTGTAACATTTCTCTACTAAATCTATGTTAAACGAAAAAATAATTTGCAAACATTTGAAATAAAAACACCATTGTCTTCTTACACATAACACCTTTTAAGATCTCATTATGTAGCCAAGACTGACCTTAAACTCATAATCCTCCTGCTTCATGAGGCACCAGGGATGAGTCACCATGCTTATATTTTGGCCTCCGTGATATAACCCCTAAACCTACTCTGGAAATCCTTTTTCTCATTCTCTTTGCTTTTTTGTTCCAGAAGAAACCAGATAATACATTCAAGTTGGAACAATTTAGGGGAAATTTCATAAGGAGACTAATTGCAGAGATGTGAGCTTGTTATAGAAAAATAGACAGGACACATCAAGCAGCAGGGAGCTTTCTTAGGATCTAAAAGTCTGAGAGGGTAGAGCGAGAAGAGGATTCTGGGTCTAGAATGGAGAATCTGTGCGAAGACAGCTGTCTGACCTTTTGATAGATCAAGGCAGACCTAGAAGGACTTTGTAGGGAGGAAGCTAGGGGAATGAATTCTCATTGCTCTCATTATCCCTCCTATCACCAAACTCCTACTCTTGCCAGAACACAGAAGGTAAGAGACTGGCTACCACCTCAACACAGCTCTGCCTCTCACTTGGACCCAATGCGTGACTTCAAAACCTACTGAGAGATGAATTTTGCTAGATGAGTTTTCCTTGAGATATTCACTCAAAATATGCTTATCAAGTGCTCTAGGCAAACCATCGGTGTGAGGTTAAGACCATGGCAAGCTCCTATAGGCTAAGGTAGTGTGAGAGACATCATTTAAGAGTGTTTATTGTTAGCTTCTGGCTCTTGGTTCACTGTCCCCAATATCCCTAATTTAGCCTGTCTCACTTCTGTGTCTGATGTACTGAAATTAATATTATGGATTTTAGTTCTATCAATATTACTACAAGTGGTAAATTTTATTCTTGTTTAGGGTTACATAGCATTCCATTACACATATGTATTATACTTTTTTCCTCTATTAATAGATACCTAAGGTGATTCCATGTCTTAGGGTTGTTTTTTTGTGAATGCTGCCATAATAAACACAGACATGAAAGTATCTGCTTGTTATATTCATTTTACTTGCATCTGATATTTACCCAGGAGTGGAATATCTGTATCACAAGGCACTTTAGAGAGTGAGAAGTGAGAAGAAGTGAATTATTTATAATACCATAGATACTAGGTCAATAAGGCCAGACTGGGATTAGTACAGGTAAGCTAGGCTACCTCATCCTCTCATAAACTTGAGAGGGAATCTGGAGGGGGAAATGGAAGATATAGTATAGTGCCCCCATGTACATGTGTGTGTGCACACACACCCCTGTAATTTGATATTAGAACATGATCTTTATATCCTTTATCAAATTTAGAAGTCTATTGTGAATTTTTCCTATATAGTATTTATTTTTCTAAAATATAATTTTAATTACGTAAAACTGGCTTATGTCATACCTAGATAATAATTGATTTAAACATTATCTCACATTTGATGCTCAGATAATGTCTTATTTTCCCCTTATAATTCTGTAGTAGACACCACAGAACAAAAAGCCATTGTGACCATTTTTATTAACAGTCACTTGAGGAGCTATGTACTAGCTACTCCAGGTAAATGAGTATAATGTAGTTCTTGAAGGCTGTAGTCAAGCAGTGGAGACTTCTAACAGCAGCCTTTGGAGCAGAAATATAAAATGTTATCACTCAACAAGATTCTCACCTTGTGGGAGATTGAAGGAAGGCTCAGGTCTTGATATCAGACCACATATATTGACTTTGTATCTAGCATTTGTTCAACCTCCCTGAGTGTCTCTGTGGTCCTAGATTCTATTGTGCCACCATTCTGCCCTGTCCCTAGCTTCTTTATCAAGCTGGCAGTCAAATGCAAATGCAAGGTGTCATCCTTTTGCTCAGTTGCCTTTACTTGGCATGAAGCTAAGTAGATTGGCTCACCTACATTGATTCTTTTTGACTGAGGCTGAGGACATAAATATTCCCTTCAGGAGACAGTATTTGGAAATAAACATGCCAGATAAACTAGGGCCCCATTGAGTGAAACTAGAGGACAAAATGTCTGAGGATAAATTTGAAAGTGGTGGAACCAACTTAGGATAATGTAGAGATCCATTTGGACAAATGAGTAAAGATTGGAGAAAAGGTGAACACCACCATTGTCTTCGCAAGTTAAGAGATATTGTACCAGGACCTATTGCCAGAGCTTTACATATCCCAGTGTCTTATCTCCCATGAGTCACCTGTGAATGAAGTCTCTGTTAGATCTCATTCAAACTTAACTGGATTTGCTTTTTTTTCTCTCCCTTTCTTACTTTATTACATCACTTCTTCATGGTACTCATCATTCTGCCTGTGATTTCCCCCTTAGCTGTCTCCCTTTCCTGATTCTCAGTCTTGGCATCTGTGTATCCTCCTCTGTCTGGAGTTCTTTTCCTCCATTTCACTTCAATGGCTTCTACTTGCCATTCACTTAGAAAAAAATAATCTGGGTTGTGACTCATCACTATAATCCTAGACACTCAGGAGACTGAGATCTGAGTATCCTAGTTTGAAGCCAGCCCAAGCAGGAAAGTTAGTGAAACTCTTGTCTCCTATTAACCACCAGAAAACTAGAAGTTGATATTGTGGCTCCAAGTGGTAGAGCACTGACCTTGAGTGCAAAAAGCTCATGAATGACCCCCTAAAATATTCTGATGTCCCACCTAGGTTAATCTTGTGTAGATACTCTAACTCATTACCATGTGTCATATTCCAAGTAGAACTTGTCACCGGCTAGAATTTACTTACCTTGGGATCTGTTTGCCAAGCATCTCCCCCACCATGTCTAAGCTCCATTAGAATTTCCTGTTTGCTTTCTCCATTTCTCTTACATAGAAGGCCATCTCACCTAGTGGGTGATATTGGTCAATTGCCATCTCTGGATGGATATGTGATGACTTTGTTTTTGAAGTCATTGTTCTGAGAGATTGTTTTGTTTCTTCTCTGACCATTTGTAGGTTTTTAGGAATGGATTTCTTTACTTCTGTAAGCATGTCCTTTAAAGAGACCTCACCTTGCCCATTTACTTAACACATACATTTCTGTGGTTAGAGAAATACTGAGTGACATTGATTGAGCCAGCAAATAGAATGTTTTGAACAAAATCCGCAGCAATATAAAATGGCTTCTTGCCTCCAGGTCTTGTTTCAGCCTGAGACATGTTGAGTCATACCAATGTTTACTTGAATGTTTTCCTTAATCTTTTTAACTTTCCTTAATCTTGTTAACTGACCAACTCTTAAGGAGACAATGATACAACACAGTTTCTCGAGAACATTGAAGGCTGGAGACCTCAGGGCTCATGCTCCATCTCCAGTGTGTTTACACCATTTTCTAAACCATTGCACATCTGGATGATGGCATGTGGAAGACAATGTCATATCTAGGATTCTTCCTGTCTATATCTTTTATAAACCTTTCCTCTTTGTTGCTTTGTATGTCCCTCCTCCCTGCTTTCACTATATTTGATGTCAGTGTAATTTGTGTAATTTGTGGAGGGTAAGGGGAAAAACAAATCGTTTAAATAGGGATACAGGTGGACCCATTGCAACAATGAGATGTACAAGTCGTTATGCCGAAAACGAACTTTACAACTTTGGTCGGGGGGGAGTGGGGAGGATTGGATGGGGTAGCGGGGGGGGGGGAGGTGTACTCATTATCTTGCCCATGTAATTGTAACCCCTCTGTACAGTATTTTTCCAATAAAAAAAGACCTATGCAGATGTAACTGTAAAGTCTTTATGCTAATGAGAGAGGAGAGGGCTTGGGAGTATCCACCTGCAAGATTCTCTTATTCATTATTTTTTATGTTTTGACAAATTCCTTGCTTTCTTTATAAAGGTTCATCAAGCCTATAGGTTAGGGAGAACTTAAATGACATAGAATACTAAAAATGGAGAACAAGTCATAATAAAAATACCAGTTGAGAAAGAAAGAAGAGAAAAAGAATCTCATAATAGTGTTCATTTCCATACTGGGAATCATCTACTTGGAAAAAATCTGTTCATAATCTACCTTAAAGTTTAACTTCATGGTGAGATATACTTATCTTAGGTGTCTAGAATTTTTGCCTTCATAATCACAAGACAAACTTTTTGTCAATAACAAGAATTAAACTGAAAAACCTCTAGGGAAATTACTGATAATTCATAGAATGGAGAAAGCTATGATTTTTGGCCCCCCTCATCTTTAGCTACAGAATGATCTAAGCTCATTTCTTGTGAATCTAAACCAGAGGAAATCTGAGATACTCTCTCTTAGGTAAATGAAGTTAAGTATTTGAAAGAACCTTAAAGAATATATTACTTAAACCCAGTACTTGAAGGTTTTAGACATCTCGCCTAGATTTTAATTAAAAGAGGTTGCTCTATAGATGAAACTTTTATTTTAAAATCTTTGCCATCAATCAGTAGTAATTACTGCTATATAATATTAATTGACATGGTTATTTTTACTAGTAGCTATTCATTTAAAACATAATTTTGTCAGACCCTTGCTAAGAGTGGGACTAAAATATTAGTGTCATGATTCCTCTTACCACTCCCCAACCTCCTTGGAGTTCAGTGTAGATCAAGAGGTTCTTCAACAGGATTTCATTATGTATCCAGGGAGCCATAGAGAAGATTTCCAAAGATAAATTTTGTTCCTCCAATTCTATGCAAAAATATGGACTAAGATTTTTCAGCATCATCAGATGAAGGACTTTAAGTATGCAAAGACAATTTCTTGATAAGTTAAAGTGTCCATCCACGCCTCGTCCCAGCTACTCAGCCTCAGACATCAGGGGAATACAAGAGCCCTTTAGAACCCATATACTCATTTGCCAGAAAACACTTTCATTTCTTCATTTTATATCTTTATCAGGTGCATATTCATTTATGCACCCATATTTTTCCCAAGGAAAGAGGATTTGACACTGAAACATTCAGTAAAACATTTTCACTTCCCTAAAAAAAGTGTTTTTCTTAATTTTTATGTTTTTTATTGTAAAAATACTGTACAGAGGGGTTACAGTTACATGAGTAAGGTAATGAGTACATGTCCTATCCAGCATTGTTACCTCTTCCTTTGTTTTTCTCCTACCATTCCTTCCCTCCCTACCTCCCCAACTCCTGACTCCCCGCCCCCCACCAAGTTGTAAAGTTCGTTTTCAACATAGTGTCTTGTACATCTCTTTGTTCCAAGGTCAACCTGTATCCTTATTTCAGAATTTTGTTATTTCTCTTCCCTTCCCAAATAAGAACAATGTATATACAAGATGCAGGGCACTGACATCAAATACAATGAAAACTGGGGTTATACCATGAGGGAAGAACATACAGGAAAAATAAAAAAAATCACATAGTACATTTTAGATACATTAAAAACAATAGCAAGAAAGAAAAAACAAGTTGTGCCCCTATCTTGGGGTTCATTTCACTTAACATCATCTTATACAGTCATATGTACATAGCTTTCAATCTTTTCTGCTTGTCCTAGGTTTATACTAGTTATTGCAAATAAAGGAAACCATGAAACCTATGTTTCTTTGGCCTGCCTGGCTTTGTTTTTCTTAATTTTTATTTTTTTACAGAGTATCATTTAATATCTTCTTGTCTTTGTACTGTGATCTGATGAATTGGCCTAATCTCCCTACTAGGCTCGGTTCCTGGAGGACAGACATGTGGTAGCCACATCCTTTGAAGCTCAGCATCTAACACACAATAAATGGTCAGTTAAGTGCTTGATTTCTCATTGAACTGTGAACCATTCTAAAAGCCTATCACTACAGATGAGAATTTCTTAGGAAAGATAGGAGATTGCATCTATATTTTTGCTTTCTGTTATGGTGGAACCAAATTCACAGAATTATAATAAATCGTAATTTAAAGAATAATAAATCATAATTTAAAAGGACTTTTTAGCTGTTAATGGTTTTGATCAGTTAAAATTTTTTTCCAGTTTCCATTTGACTGTGTACAATGAGAGAGGAAAAAAATAAAAGAAAGGAAGAAAATGAAAAGACTGTGAATAGTATGTTAAAGGAAATGGTAGGGCCTCTAAACCACATGAAAAGCAAGACAAAGAGTGACAGCGGAGAAATGTCACCTAAGCTGCTGGAGCTGTGTCGACACCCTCAGTTCTCTCTAAGATGAGTTTTTGACTCACAGGATTCTGTTCTGTATGGGCTTTCTTCTAGTGAAGGATTTATCTATGGAACGGATGGATATTCCATTTACACATGATTTCCCAAATCATCATAATAGAATATGTCCTGTTAACTTCATGATAGTCACCACCTGCCTTATTGTTTCCACTTCCCACAAAGTTTGCTTTATAATTTTCACAGGAGCTCTTTGGTCTCGGCGGCAGAGGCGAGATGACGAAGGGAACATCATCCCTTGGAAAGCGTCGCAATAAGATGCACACATTGCGCCGCCGCTGCTGTTCTAAGGCCTACCACCTTCAGAAGTCGGCGTGTGGCAAATGTGGCTCCCCTGCAAAACGCAAGAGAAAGGATGACTGGAGTGCCAAGGCTAAGAGACGAAATACTACCGGGACAGGTAGTATTTCTAATTGTCTATCGCAGATTCAGGGAAGGGTTCCGTGAAGGAACAACACCCAAACGCAAGAGAGCAGCTGTTGCAGCATCCGGTGCATCTTGAGAATTTAAAAGATTAGCCATACAATAAATGTTCTGGTCTAAAAAAAAATTACAGGAAAAAATATTTTTCCTGAAAAATTCTCCATGGGTGGCAGAGGTAACAATCAACATCTGATAGCATCTTACAACCTGAACAGAGGCTGGGGGAAAATGGGAAGCCCATTGTGAGGTACATTGTGCGGGCTCAGGTATGGGGCCAGCTTCTCCCACTATGAAGGACTGGTAGGTATCACCAATCAGGACTCTGGCTATGGTCCACTTGTCATTTCTACTAACCACAAATTACTATGGACAAGAAAAACGGCTTAATTTAAAAGATCCAGAGAGTTGGGTATCAATGTTCTTTGTGTTTCCAAATATTTAGAAGTTCCCGGAGATTCTGTGGTCTGCCATTTTATTGCTACTTCCTGGATTCATGTCTCTGACATTTCCTATTTGGTTTAAGCCTTGGCTCATACTTTCTATGTTGAGTATCTGAAATATCTTTATATTCTGTAGATAGACCATCACATTCCTTTCTCTTTAGTCAGGGTTTGTATGCTGTTGTCTTCTTCCTTTGAAATATTTTCTGCTTTCCAGTTCTCCCCAGATTATAGTTAATCCTGTACATCTCCTTTCATTTGGATGTGAATTTATCATTACCATCTTGTTTCTCCAGGAATCTCTCCCTCAATCACTACCTCACCCCCAGGCCATGACTCAGTGCCCTTCCTAGATTCCCTTGGCTGTGAACAACTCCTAACACAGCCTTTGTGCCCTGTCATTTGCATCACTCAACAGATGACACCCACAAGAAGATGATATGTCAGTCTTGCTAATCAATACATCCAAAATCTAGAAATGTCCCAATAATTATCTATTGAATTAGTTCATGAATATGGAACAGGTGACAACATAAAACTTAGAAATGGGTTCATTATAATTGTCTTTCAGAAGTTTATTGAAATGAAATGGAAACAAGAGTTGTTTTTGTTGTAATTTTGCTTTTTTTTCTTCTTCTTTGTTGTTCTTTTTTATTTCTGTACCTTTTGTTTTGTATGCACATTTATCTGGTTGGGGGAGGGTTGGGGAAGCACTGAAATGGTGGGAGAAAAGGTACAGCAGTGATAGTTATTAGGCACTATGTTGAAAGTGAACTAAATAACTTGTGGGAGAGGGATCAGGAGGGAAAAATTGAGGGGGAAAAGGTAGGGGAGAGTACACTGCTCAAAAGAGATGTGCTCATTACCTGACTTAGGTAACTGCAATCCCTCTGTACATCACCTTTACAATAACAATAAAAATTATTGTCTTTCAGATCCTTTATATCCAAGGTCAAAACTCACATAGATATGGAACAAACCCAGATGCCCCTCAGTAGATGAATGGATCAAGAAAATGTGGTATATATACACAATGGAATTCTATGCCTCCATCAGAAAGAATGACATTGCCCCATTTGTTAGGAAATGGAGAGACTTGGAAAAAATTATATTAAGTGAAGTAAGCCAGGCCCAAATAAATATAGGTCCCATGGTTTCCCTTATTTGCAATATCTAGTATATGTCTGAGACAAGCAGAAACAGTCAGGTAAGTTGATGATAGGTGAAATGAACTCCAAGATAAGGATTCAAATGTTTTTTTTCTTTCTTGGGATTGTTTCTAACATATTTATAAGATGATTTCTTTGTTGCTTTGTATGTCCCTCTCCCGTGATATAACCCCTGTTTTCACTGTATTTGATATTGGTATAATTTGTGGAAGGGAAGGGAAAAAACAAATTGTTTAAATTGGGATACAGGTAAACCCATCGCAACAATGAGATGTACAAAAACAAACTTTACAACTTTGGCGTGGTGGGGGGTAAGGGAGGAGGCAACAATGCTTGATAAGAAATGTACTCATTACCTTGCCCATGTAATTGTAATCCTTCTGTATGGTATTTTCACAATTAAAAAAAGATTCTTATATATAGCAAAATAAATCCCACATAAATTCTGAAGATAATTCTTTGCAAATTCTTATTTTTATTCAAATGGTGACTGGGAAGAAAAGTCTTTAATTATATAAAAATTATTCCCAAAGAGATTAAAATATTTTTGCCAATTTCAATAAGAGAGATGAGTTCAAAGAGCTCTGCAGAGTAATACTGTATTGTAGTTAAGTCAGTGGTCTCAATTTCTAGCAACATGTTTTTTTATTTTCCAGATTTTGCTAATTTGTCCAACAAATTATATGATCATTCCTCTCTAGATATTAGAAATACATGAAATAAAGACTCTCTTAAATCACACATACACACATACCACACACACACACACACACACACACACACACACACACACACACACACAAAGATACTTAGAGCATTTATGTACACTTTAAACTACACTATAGAAAGACAACCAACACCATATCCAATTCTAGTTTAAGATAACAATACAATTCAAGCTATTAGAAGTGGAGCTGTATAAGTGGTAGAGCACTACCCTTGAGTAAAAAAGCTCAGGAACAGTGCTCAAGCCCTGAGATCAACCTACAGGATAGGCACAAAAAGCAAAATTGAAGGGAAAATATATTCAGAGCTTTACATAATCATGAGCAATGATTAAAAGGAAGAAAATAGTTTTGTTGAGCTTCTTAACAAATTGCTCACAAACTCTATTAGTTGTCCAAAGATAAACATTTATGAATGCGTTTTCTTTGGAGAAGAAAGATTATTTTTCAATTAATTAATGACTGATGTTTCCCAGAATTCTTTCCAAAAGCCTAGAAGCTAGTGTTATTTTAGATTGGCTTTTGCTTCTCATCCTTTTCTTTTGATTGAAGCTGATTGTTAATTTAAAAAATAAATTGATACGAGGCAGTGAATGTATAATAAGTAAACAGTGTTTTTTTGTAAAGTCCTTTCTGTCTCATATAAGAAAACAATTCCAAGGCTGCCACATCCCTTGCTTGTGCTGCTTGAACTCAGTGATCAGTAGATTTGTAGGATTTTAAGAAAGAGAACACCAAAATTTTGGAAGTCAGAAAGGGCTAATTTCTATAATTCTTTTCTATGTGTCTATTTCAAATGTATTTAATAGCAATCTGTTTGCTTGTCTTTATAATTTGCCTGAAAATGTCTGAGAATTGAGAGCTTTTGTCCCTTCAT